CAGCAGCAGGAGCAGCAACAGCCTTCCATGGTATCAGAGCTCACCCGCTGGGTGCTGGCCGGCAGCAGGAGCGGCAGTGGTGCCCTCCAGTCAAGGGGGTGGAGCCCGGCCCCGCTGCCTCCCGCCAAACTGTGGCTGCTTTTCCCTCCCAGGCTCAAGCATTGCCCTGCAGGCCAAAACCCGAGTGGACTTCGGCATCTCCAGCGCACACAGCAAAGGCTCTTGGAGCGCGGTGCAGACCTCAGGTCCTTCTGGCTCCTTGAACGTCTCCATCTTCAGCCCAGCAAATTCTGCCATTGGACGTTACCGGCTGGGCGTCAAGACCAGCTCCAGCAGCAGTGTTTCCATCCTGGGCACTTTCGTGCTGCTGTTCAACCCTTGGGTGCCAGGTACAAAAGCAGTCCTAGGAGCGCTCGGTTTGGCACTTGAAAACATTGCCACCCACTGGCAAGGGGCAGAGGGTGCAAGGCTCCTAGCTCTGTTGCCCTGAGGGCTTGGACACGGCTGCAAATTCTTTTTTAGTGGGCACAGCAAAGAGAGAAAATTGCCCAGCCTCTTGGCTCTGCCCCTTCCAACTTTAAGAGAATGGAGGCTGGGGCTACAATGCAAAACTGGGGCTGCACCCCTCAAACTACTGGTGGCCTCAGGTACCCCTTGGATGCCCAGACTCTCGCCTCCCCAAGGAAGTACTGATCAGTGGAATGGAGACTCAGAACATGCATGTGCCGGGGACACGGATGGTTTTGTGCTGTTTTGGGCAGGGTTGGACCAGAGGTATTAGGGAGGATGACAGAAGGGTTTTCAGCACACACATGTTCCCCGGGGGAGAAAGCCCTACCATCACTATGTCTGCCTGATATTTGGTTTTCAGAGGATGAAGTGTTCATGCCAGACAACGCAGAACGTCAGGAATATGTCCTCTCGGAGTTTGGTGTTGTCTTTGTGGGGAGCACAAACCGCATCTCTCACTTTGGCTGGAACTATGGGCAGGTAATCAGAAAGGATATGCCATTTAGATATAAATTCAGAATGGGGTCCAGAAACATTTCTTGAATGTTACGAGTTGATTTAACCCCTTTCCCTTTGCTCAGTTGTTGCTCGTCAGCAGCACCTCTTTATTATTTATTTTATTTATTCAATTTATATGGCCGCCCTTCTCAGACCAGTGAGCTGCCGCTCACCACAACCACTACGGGGCGCCCCCCTGCCTCAGGTTCTTTTCTGGAGGGGATCACGCAGCAGCTGAGAAGGACTGTTGAAAGCAAGCCTCCTCCTGACCGCTTGGCCAGGAAGAAAGGACCCCCTCCCCCGCCCCAGGGAAAGCCCTCTCCATGCCATCCCAGCTCTCCATTCAGGTTGCTGGCAGGTGGGAGTGGAAGAGAAGCAGGCTTGGGTGGCAGAGAAAGGATCCCCCAGGCTATTAGCAGCCTTTGGAGAATGCTGGGAAACTTCTGACGAGATGCCCCCTGGCCAAGCTGAAATGGACAACCTGCCCATCAGATCCAGACCCTCAGAAGGCTGGAACCCCTTCCTGGTGGCATCTAAAGGTGATTCAGGAATGCCCTACCCACACCAAGAATTAGGTGGTGGTAGTAAAGCTGCTGCAGCCACTGTTGCCACTAAAAGTGTGTGTGTGGAGGAGGGTATTTTGCCTGCCTGATAACTTCCTCTCTACACAGTTTCAAGAGGACATTCTGGACATTTGTCTTTTCATTCTGGACCGGAGCTTAAGCCACCGCAAGGATCCAATTGCTGATCTGCGTCGCCGGAATGATCCCAAATATGTTGGACGGGTGCTGAGTGCCATGGTATGAAAATGCTTGCATCCAACACGGATTGTAAGACAGCATTCTGCACCTCCAGCCCTCCATTGCGGCCCAAGAAATGGGGCGAAAATGATTAAACACGAAGCTCTTTCTGGTGTGTGAAGGGCGGGAGGGGGCAAACTGGATGCTTTGCAGAGGCTCAAAACCCCCTCTCTCCCCCCCACACCCCCTATTGGCCCAATTTTTCCAGTTGGGATTTTAATGGAATACTGTAGGTACATAATACAAAATGCTTCCTTGGAGCACATTTGGACATCCACTTCGGGACAAAACGGTCTCCTTCTGGGTCTCCCTTCTGAGGAGCCAGAGCACCCGTGGGACACCCCTGCAGGCTGCCGTCCTCCACTGTGGAAATCCAGCAAGGAGAAAGTCAGCCTTCTCTCAGTCCTTGTCTCTCATTCCTTTGCGGCTCCCAGTCTCTCATTCCTTTGCGGCTCCTTTGAGCCTGCCCCCCCATCTCCAAGCCCCAGTGTTGGCCAAGGGAAGCTGAAAAGCCCCTGTGCCAGGGGGCCCGTCTAGCTTCGGGCAGGTCCGTTCAATCACCTTTCAAGTCTCATTGCAGGGGAAGTGTGTTTGTGAAACCGTTCACAACGGTGGTAGCAGGGAAGGGAGCATTGCACAAGCCTCCTCCCACCCTGGGCGCATCATCAGTGCCTCCCCAGTTGTGGTGGATTTTCTGCTCCCGTTTGCATCCAAGTGTGCTCTGGCAGGGAGCATCTTCAAAGGAAAGGTGCCTCCTTGGCAAGGAAACATTTTAGCCTGCTCCAAAACCACTGCGTGAGTCCCGTTCTGATTGTACCAGAAAGCGCTGGATCACCTGGAGAGTTTTTCTGCTCATTCAGATTATATGGCTGCCCATCTCAAGTTAATGACTCTGGGCAGCTAAGAATGTTAAAAATATATATAAAAAACAGAAAGACCAAAAAAGCCCACACATAAAATAGCAGCTAGGGTATATTGTAATTTCAATTGATTTTTACCTGTTTTGTAAACTGCCCAGAGTCATTTCAATGAGATGGGTGGTGACAAATTTGATAAATAAATAAACAAACAAATAAGAACAGCTCCATCCATAACAATTAACATAGCCAATGCAAGGGCCTTTAAGGCCTTATTGAAGGTCAACAGGGTCAGGGCCAACCTGATCTTTGGGGGGGATGATATTCCAAAGGGTGGGCACCATGACAGAAAAGGCTCTCCTCCAGAGTCCTGCCGGAATGACACTCCTTAATAGATAGGACTTGGCACGCTCCTCCTCTGCCAGATCTCGTGGGACGGGTCGGCATGACTGGGGAGAGGTAACCCAGCCCCGTGCCATGAAGGGCTTCATAGGTTACAACCAGCACCTTGAACTGCACCCAGAAGCAGACTGGCAACCGGTGCAGCTTGCAGAGCAGAGGAGTTTCCCCACAGCAGCTTCTCCTATTTTGGCTTTTCCCCAGGTTAACAGCAATGATGACAATGGCGTGTTGCAGGGAAACTGGAGTGGGAATTACAGTGGTGGGGAAAGCCCCAGCAGCTGGACGGGGAGCGTGGACATCTTGCGCAGGTGGAAGAGCTCAGGTTTCAGGCCCGTCCGCTACGGACAGTGTTGGGTCTTTGCTGGAGTGCTGAACACCGGTAAGTCTTCTGAGAACTGGAGAGATTCTGGGGAGTCTGTCCTAGCAGATGCTGGATGTGAAGCTGGAAGGGAGCAGAAAAGCAGTAAGTGCTACTCAGACTTATGGCTGTGAGTACAGAGTGTCTGGACTGCGGAATCAGCCCCGCTGATCCTGTGGACCCCTCTGGTTCGCCTCAGGGCAGCGGGACCTTTCCGCGCTAGCTGTCCAAGTGGGACACGGGCCCTGGGTGGTGGTAGAAAGACTGCTGGTTCTGCTTCTCTAGTTCACTCCCTTTGGGACTCGTGACTGATGGGCATTTCACCTGGCAGGTGGGCAGGGCGAGGTGCATTTCACAGAGAGAAGGAACAGATTAAGCCCCTGCAGGTCCCTCCGCTGGCCTGCCAAATGAGGATGGCAATCAGTCTGAGGCGAGGTTGAAGGAGATGATTGAGCCTGGCCGGGGGCAGGAGGAGCTGGGGGGAAAGAAGGGGCGGCAGTCAGTCACAGCCCACGCAGAGAGGACAGGAAGAGAAACATGAGCTGCAGGGAGGCTGGGAGGCACGAAGGACGGGAAGGCAGGCACGAGCCAGCTGCGGGTGCCCTCCCGGGCAGGGTGGGGACTCGGAGCGGATGACGCCCCCAAAATCCCAGCATGGGGGCGGTGGGAACTCTGGGCCACAGGATCCCTGTGAGCTCACCAGTCCATCTGCAGGTCCACCTCAGGAACCACGGAGGTTGGAGGCTGAGCAGCCCCTTTGGGCCACGGAGGCCGTGACAAGAGGCCGACCCTCAGCGCAGCTTCCGCCTCCTGACCGGGAGGCCCTGGCTGCCAGCTCAGCCTCCTGCAGAGACTTCCCGAGAGATGGTGGCTAAGAGCACGGCCACCCTTCCCATCTTCTCTTCCTCCTCCCTGTAGTCCTCCGATGTCTGGGAATGCCCAGCCGCACGATCTCAAACTTCAACTCTGCCCACGACACGGACATGAGCCTGACGGTGGACGTGTACTACGACGCCGAGGGGAATCCTCTGAACATCGCCTCTGACAGCATCTGGTAACTGCCCCACCCGCGCTGCCCAGCCCTGGCATCGGCTGGCATACTGGGTCTCCCCCGTCCTTTTCATGCCCTAGGCAGGCAGAAGCTCTCAGGGCAGACCCCCTCTTGGCCGCCTGCCCGTGCCCCTCCTCCTCAGGGCTTCTTTCCCCCCTCCTGGGCATGCTCCCCTCCCCCACAAGGGTGCCAGGAAGCCAATGGAGGAGGAACTCGTGGATCTCCCTGCAAGTGGCTGGCAAAGTGCTTCCCAGGGGCGGGAGAGACAGAAGGGGGAAGGGGTGTGTCGGGAAGCCCTTTCCCACAACAAGACAAAGGTGTGTGGCGTGTTTGCCTGCCTGCAGGAAGCGGCGATGGCCATGGCTTTGCAGGGGTCTGTGGCGAGCGAAGGCTATGCTCTCTGGAGCAGGCGTCAGGGATCAACTCACGGCAGAGCCGCCGCTTCCTCACGAGGTCTTCACAGGCCCCCCGCCCAGGCATCCTGCTGCCTGGAAGCCTCTGTCTCCTGCTGGGTCCTCTCAATCCCCAGCCCATGCTGGAGGCAACCCAAGGCATCCCCTCCTGCTCAGTGTCCACAGAGGCCCTCTGTCCCCCTTCGTGGGCTGCTCCGTCAGCAGGGCAGACAGATGACCCCTCCACCCCGTAGCTGTATCAGTCTGGCCCCAACTGGCCAGCCTAGGCTGGGAGCCAGAGCGGGCGGTGCTCCTCCAGCGCTTTAGCTTGGGCGTGAGGAAGAGTGCAGCCATTTTTGAGGCAAGGGAGCAAAGCTTGCCTTCGCTGCTGCTGCTGCAGCGGCAACGCAGCTGTTGTTGGCCGATGCTGCAAGGCGCAACAAACACTAGCGAGCCAATGGCTTTAGCCACTTTGGGACGGGGGCTGTATCTGCATTGCAAAGTCCCAATGGCCGTGTGGGGTCACGGTGAAGAAGGCAGCAGACTAGAAACCAGGAGCCCCTGAGTTCTAATTCTGCCTTGGGCCAGTCATTCTCTCCCACCCCTGGGAAGGAGGCAAGGCCACCTGCTGCTTAAACGAAATGGCCACTAGATGGCAGTAAAACCGAGCAAGAGGGGGGGGGAGCCGCCCTCCCGGTTGCCCCTGCTACCTTTCAGGCCAGCCTTGGCACCAGGATCTTTTGTCTCTGTGGAAGCACTCTGGACATGCCGTCCCCCCTTTTTCCTGCACGCGAGGAAGAGAAGCCCATCTCTCTCCCCACTCCCTGCCCCCAGCGAATTTCCTTCCCTTCCCTTGTCGTTTTCCACACCCAGCGGGCACGTGGCAAAGAAAGATCTTTCTGAGGAGTTGGAAACCCCTGTCGGAGGAGGCAGCGCAGGATGGCCCTAGCTGGAAGCCAGTCCTGCCCCTCTGGAGAAATGGGCAGGGAGGGGGAAGGGGGAGCCTGCGTCTGCCCGCGTCTCCTTGCCAACGGGCCGGCTCTCGGTTGCAGGAACTTCCACGTGTGGAACGAAGGCTGGTTTTTCCGATCTGATCTTGGTGCCACCTACCGCGGCTGGCAAATTCTGGATGCCACTCCACAGGAGAGGAGTTCAGGTACCAGGGCCGTCCCCATCTCCACAGGCTTAGGACGGGGAGAGGGGCCAGGTCTGGCTCTCCGCTTAGGGGGGCGCCTGCAGAGCCAGGGCGGCTCTGCCAGCGCCGCGGGGAGCCCTCCAGCTTGGCTGCCCAGCTTCCGTGCCCGGCCGCCAGCAAGGAGAGAACCGCGAGCCGCACCGCCCTCCTGCTAGCCTCCGGCAGGCTAGCAGAGGGGAGGCCAAACCTGCTTTCCCAGCGCGTGGCAGCGGCCCAAAGCCTTTCCAGACACTTGGGGGCTTGGGGTAGCCGGCCTGGGCCGAGGCGAGGCCTTTGGGATGCGCCGCTCCTCCGCGCTGGTCTGCCGGCCTCCCCACGTAGCCGGTCAACTGCTGCACGCTAAGTGCTCTCCATGGCTGTTTGGGGGGGGTCCCTTTAATGCGTAAAGTTCTTTTGACCTTTTTGACTGTAAAGTTGCAAAGACCCTCCCTCGGGGATGAGGCTTCCCTTTGGTGGGCAGAAGGTACCGTCCGGGCTATGCGTAGCACAGACCTTTATCTTGTGAGTCATTGATTCTGTTCCGATGGCCACCCATCTCACTATGGCGGCTCTGCACAGCTAACAACTTTTAAAATCATAGCACAAGTAACGTAACACCACAGGACATAGGACAACCAAATCAAACAAAACCTGATAGGGTTCAACTAATGATCCTCGTCTTCAAGGCTTTCTGCAAAGCCAGAACTGGGTTTGCGCAGGGTACTTTTATGAAAGATTATGAACTGTGAATTACGATCACAGGGGATAATTCATTCCCTTGTTCAGAGAATAAGCCAATAACATTCTCCCTCCGGGAAGGAGAGAGGCTGCTCCCTGCCCAAGCCACCTAAGCTAGTGGCCAGCAGTGTCCATCCTGTGGCATACATGCCACCGTCTGGCACTGCCTTGGGCTTTCCTGCTGCCACGTGTTCTGCACCCAGCGCCCTAGGTGGGGTTTCCTCCTCCCTTCTCCTAATCTCGCGCGTGGCACCCTCATTCTCCAGGCATATTCCAGTGTGGACCAGCATCCCTGACGGCCATCAAGGAGGGAGATGTGGACCTGCCGTTCGACTCCCCGTTCGTCTTTGCAGAGGTCAACGCTGACCGTGTCACCTGGCTGTATGACACCACCAACGGCGAAAAAAAAATGATTTACTCGGAGACCAGATCAGTTGGCCAGTACACAAGCACAAAAGCTGTTGGCAGCTATACCCGCCAGGACGTCACAAACAATTATAAATATCCAGAAGGTAAGACAGATGAAGCAGAGCTCCCTTTTCAGCTTTGCAGAAATTTGGGACTGAATCTGGTGGACCAAAGACGGCATGATTAATGCCAGCCATTAAAGGCGCACCTACTGCAATTAATGTTCTTCGGTGAGTCACCAACTCTTTGCATTGTGGATTTTGCCACTGAAGCTGATGGCCAACCCAAGACCAAGCCAGTGGCTGCAGAGCGAAACCTTTTCAGGAATGCCGGCTGTCACTCCTGAGAAGCCGGCTGGAGCTGCAAAGGCAGGATGGCCTCTTGAGTCAGCTGCCCAGAGCGAGAGCCCTGCTGCCCCGCACCGGAATGAATGGCCCTCAGCCCTTCTCCCTCAAGGGCACCAGAGAGGCCAGTGTGGGCTCAGCCCCACAGAAATCAAGGAGGGCAATCAAGGCTCCCGGGCATAAAGCACCCTCTCTTTACCCCCCTTTTCTGTCATTCCCTCTCAGGCTCAGCCAAGGAAAGGGAAGTCTTCAAAAAGGCACGTGGCAAGCTGAACCTTGACCCCCTCTTGGCCACATCTGCCAAGCTGCCCGAAAAAGATAAGCCCATCTCAGGGAAGTTTAAGGTGGAGAAGCCCCCAGAGGTCGGCAAGGATGTCAGCTTGGTCTTGCAGCTGACCAACCTTGCTTCGGTAGCCAGGAAACTGACAGCCAACATGACCGCCTGGACCATCATCTATACTGGAAAGCCGGTCCACGAGGTCTGGAAGAACACCCTCAAGGTGGATCTTGGGCCCAAAGAAGGTAGGTCTGGCCTGTCCCGGGGAGAGGAGCAGCGCAGCCAGGCCCGGGGCCCGTGCCTAACGCTCAGGCTGCAGGAGGGCTGAGCCCCACACCTGACCACCTGTAGTGCGCTGGGAGAAGAGAGAGGCATGTGTGCAAAGGGCCCCCCAGAACTGCGTTGGTTAATAAGATGGCCAGAGGTACCCAAGCCCCTGCCACGGAGGTCAGAGAGCTGCTGTTCGTGCCCAGGGGCAGCACATGGCCTGGTTCTCCAGAGGATGATTCTCAGTCCAGCCCACACTGGGAAGGGAAGTAGCACCCCACCCCTGACTCTGTGACCGGCACGGGGCCCCTTCCCTCATACTTGTTCCTGGACCTGCCCCACATGATGGGCAAGGAAGAGATGGACTTCTGTGCATTTGTCCGCCACTTGCAGTTGTGGGCATGTGTGCAGGGGCCAAAAAAACCATGCCAGAGCTTTAGAGCTACAGAATCATCGCAGGTCAGCCCCAACCTTGCTGAGTCCCTCTTGGGACTAATGAAGCTGCAGCTGCCCTTTGCAAGTGAAGGGCCACAGTGTGCAAAGATTGTCCCTGGGGCAAGATACCAGGCAACCTCTTCCCGAAGGTGGGCAACTGCTAGGCTTCAGAATCAGGGCAGTCCCTCAGGGGGTCCCTCCTTTGTGGGCGATTCCCCCGATTCTGTAGGACAGCAGGGAAGCAAACCTTCTGCCCTGACAGCTGGAGGTGACAAGCCTGCCAAAGATGGGGCTGGAGAGGTCTTTTGAGCTTCAAGAATCTCAGCCTAAAAACGGATGTTTAAAAAGGTCCATGCCCTTAGGCTAAACAGTTCACGAGGGTGCTTGGGAACGTGTTCATGCTCCCTCCTGCCAGCTGTAACCAGCAAAGAGGCTGCACACACACACACACACACAGAGCAGTTCCAGAGCACTTCTTCAAAAGTGCTCTCTGGAGAGCACTTGTGCATGCACTCACAAGGAGAGGCGCACTGAGGGGACAGCGCCTAGCCGGGTCCCAGCCCTCTGGGCCCAGCTCAGTGTGTGAGGCTGAGACCAGTTGCGTCCCTGCCTCTCCTTCCAGAAAAAGCATTTCCCATCAAGATTTCCTACGCCGAATACCAGCAGCACCTCACAGCAGACAATATGCTCCGTGCGACTGCCTTGTGCCAGATCAGTGAGGGGAAAGACACTGTGGTGGAAAGAGACATCAGTCTGGACAACCCCTCAATCGCCCTAAAGGTGAGCCGGCTTGGCCGGGACCCCCTCTGGCCGGTGAAACCGCCAAGCCGGCCTTGGCCAGAATGGGCCACTTCGTTTGGGAAGGGGTGGGGTGGGGAGAGGAGCTGTGTCCGTGGGGCTCCTCAGCTCGTGCCTGCCTTCAGGGAGGCTGGACCCAGAGGACTCACCCAAGGCTTTGCTCTGGGCAGGTGCTGGGCCAGGCCAAGGTGGGCCAGGCGGTGAAAGTGGAAGTGAACTTCACCAACCCCCTGGACGAGGAGCTGAAGGACTGCATCCTGCTGGCAGAGGGCAGCGACCTGCTGGCAGAGAAGCTCAGGCTTGAGTGAGTCCCGGGGAGGGTTGGGGGGGGGGTCCAGGGCAAGGGCTTTGCCCGGCCAAGGTGGAGTTGCCAATTATTCCACTGAACCATGGGGGGGGAGGTGACTGGCATCTACAAGGAGACTGATGCTCCAGCTTGCCCCTTGCTGCTCCAGGCCTGCGTTTGTCTCACTTATTTATCCCAATGGCGAGTCTCCCCACACTCGGCTTTCAAGTGAAGCCTCTGCCAGGCCACTATCACGGAGGCAATGCAACGATGACTCCAGGGTCTTTGTTCTCCCTGAACCATTTGAGTCAGGAGGAGGGGAGGTGCAAGCCATCCAGTGCAGGATGAACACCCGGTTCTCTGGAAGGAGCAGGTTGGCTCCAAGGGCAGCGCCAGTCTTCCCTGGTCCCCCAGGCCCCCAGCCCTGGAGGGACCTGGTGTTGTCAGCACCGATGGCTGGATGGCTGCCACAGACTGAGCCCCTGATCGTGTTAAAGATGGTCCCCGCCAGTCCAGAGACTCGCGAAGCCAAGTGGGGCTGCCGTTCTGCTGCAAATACAACAGCAGAGGAGAAACGGCCTGTGCCCACAGATCCTGATTCCGAGGGGAATCCCCTCCTGGCATGGCATGGTGAGGGGACAGGATTGGCAGTGCCAAGGTTAGAATGTGGAGCCCGCAGGTACCAAGGGGATGTCATGTGAAGATGGAGAAGGATTAAATCATAGAATTGTAGAATGAGGAGGAAACCCAAGGATCATCTCGTCCCCCTCAGCAATGGGCAGGAAATCCAATTCAGGCATCCTGGGAAGGTGGCTGTCCGGCCTCCCCTGAGGACCTCCGAGACGGAGAACCCCACCCTCCAAACGTGGAACAGATCTTAGCACCAGGAGAGATAGATCCTCCTTCTATTTCCACAAACTCTTAAGCAGTTGCAACTTATGCCCACTCCTTCTGGTCCCAGGGAAAGAGCACTTGAACATCGCCCACTGAATGTGGCCCTCTTCCACGTGCCTCCCTTCGGTCCTCTTTCCCCAGACTCAGCCTCCCTGGAGGTGCTTAAACAGAGGCTGGCATGCCATCTGCTGGGCATGCTGCAAAGCGGATTCTTCCGCCGGGCAGGGGTTGGGACTCCTTGCACCCTTTCCTTCTAGGAGGCATTTGCCCACCGATGGGGAGCTTCATGGCTGAGATTCCACCACCTTGGCTGCAGTGGTGGAGTCCTGGAGAGCTCCCGCTGGCCTAGCTGGGCCTTGGAGCGAGGCGGCTTCTCCTCTTACGCGGAGGCCTTCCGCTGCGCCCCTGCCTGCAGCTGGTGTGGGCCCAGGCTCCTCAGCCCTGAACTGCCCCCTCCCTCTGAGCACAGCTGTCCCTGCCACTGGGCCTTCCTTAAGCAGCAGCGGTTACGACCAGCAAAGGGGACCAGCCACAGGAGAGAGCGTGGAGCGTGCCCCGCCGAGGGGAGAGAGCCCCAAGGCAGGGCAGCGCAGCCTCTGCCCTGGCAACCTAGGAGGCCCCTCGGTGCCTGGCAAGTCCTCGGCTCAGCCCAGATCCATGCTGAGCAGCCTTCTTGCTCCTTCCCCACAGGGTACCCCCCGTGAAGGCCAAGCAGAACTCACACATCCACTTTGAGGTCACTCCCAGCAAGGACGGGACGAAGCAGCTGCTCATCAACTTCTCCTGTGACAAATTCCAGGACATCAAGGCCTTTGAGACCATCACGGTGGCCGCCAACTGATCTGGAGGCCTCCAGACATACCTGTCCTGGGGCGCAAGAAGGATGTGCTGTGAAAAGATGTGGCCAAGGGCCATTTTGTCTGAATAGCATGCATTGAATATACATTTCCTTGCTGTATCCAAAATGTCTTGACTCCTCTCTGAACGTCTGTTGTATTCCTGTGGCTGTTCCCTGCAAACCAGCAAAGGGTACCTGCCGCTTTGCAAATGGCCGTGGGGTAGGAACCCATTACTGCAGGCCACATAGCCTGCATTTCATTTCCTGCCAGTGAGTTCCTCTCCTTAGCAGGGCCGCACAAGTAAGTCAGCCGTATTCTGACGGTGTAGAAAAGGCTCCTCCCAGAGCACAGCCTTCAGATATAACCAAGTTCCTTTTCGTCATAAACCGAAAACTGGCTCTTGGGGGAGAAGACTCAAATGCCAACCAGCCTATTTTCTCCAGCGGCAACCAGGCAAAAGCTTCAGCTATGCAAGGGCTGTGCACTCCTTTTATTCATTAGCTGTTTGGAAAATGTAGATACTGCCCATTCCCTTAATGGCTTTGAATGGCTGACAAAAATATAATAAGAAGATCACTAGGAACAAGAAATAGAAAATAAGCAACGAATAAAGGACATTAGAACATTAAGACATTAAAAAGCTTGGGTGAATAAGTATGTCTCAACCCCCTCCTAAATTAAAATGGGGGCTGTGCCAGTGGTTCCATAACGCAATAGCCAGCTCCCCCCTCCTCGCTCGGCCTTTCAAAAATACGGGGGGGATGGCGGACGTGTGGCTTTAAATCAACAGGGGAAAACACGCCAATACGACTAAAAGAACACAGAAACAGAAAAGAAAGAAAACTTCAGCCACAGATTTGGGGGCAGGGGCAAGTAGAGTGTGTTTGCACCACCATGGATCTGCTGGGGGAATGCTGTGGGAGGAGGTGACACGTGCGCGTCGCTATCACGCAAATAACGTGACGCTGGGCTTCCGTCCAATGTGATGCGGGGAGGTGACGGTGGCACTTGCTTGATGACGCGTCGTTTTCACAGTTCGTTATGGATGCAAGCCTGCCCCAAGCCTGCCCGCGCTTTACCCAGGGGATCGGAACAGCGGCTTCTTGATTTGCCGGGGGGTGGGGGGGAGAGACACTGAAAGTGCCACTGCCAGCAATTCCAACGAGGAAGAAAATGGAGGACGGAAGAGGAGTCACAGAACACACCACCTGGAAGAAGCCAGACCTCCCTCGCAGCATCCCCCGAGATTTGCACGGCCCTCCCCTGCCCTTGTTCAAGCACGTTTCCCCCCCATGCTTCGGCCAGGATGAGTGACGGGCCTCTTATGCGAATGCATAGGTCAGGTTGTAGGTTCTGTTGCTCTGGCGTCACTGCTCTTTCTCCTCACTGCGTCGTTTTTCCAGCTTTTGCAGCATTACACGCTGCTCAGAGCTGCCACGGAATTCGGCAGCCTTATAAATGTGATATAGATAGATTGATAGATTGGTAGATTGATAGACAATACTGACACAAGATGGTGTGCTTCTATTATCCTGGCAGGGTTAGGAGGAAACAACAAACTTTTTTTGGAAAACAGAGCCCTGCCACAAAGGCAACACCTGCTTCCCAGAATTGGAGGCAGGTGAGCCGAACCCCTGTGAAATCCCAGGTCAGTATCCCACCCCTGTCAGATGAGGGTTAGGGCACATATTTTTAGGAAACATTTTTTATTTGGAAACGAAAACCCTTCTGCCTGTGCACCATCCACTCCCTAAAAAGTGGAGACAGGCAAGCTAACAAAAATACAGAGACAACCCTCGAAATGTAACCTAGCCCACCTCTTACCCCTCCCTTGCACCCCGAGCCCAGGCCCTCGCACAAGTCCGCGCAAACAAACGAACTGGCATGCTCATCTAAGAGACTTCAGAGCCCCAATGCAAGGCCCTCGATGGGCCGCCGTGTGTCCGCGGTGTCCAGTCCTCGGTCTCCCAGGGCCCAAAGCAGCGCCACCACGTGTCAGTCGTTCAGTCCTTCTCAGCACGGCGAAGTCCGTAAAACCTCTCTGTGCTCTGGGAGGCGGTTCCAGCGCACAACGCCCATTCTTCCTGGGCATCAGATCTCAGCGGGAGGGACACCTAGCGACAGAGGCGATGGCCACACCACAGTTCCGGCAGCATCTGGAGGAGCAGGAGGAGGTGAACCGCTGACCAGGGAATGGACCAGTGCTGCTGCTGCTGTTGTGGAGACCACTTCGCTCCTCTGGGATCCTGTTAACCACTCAGCTGCTGCAGGCTCCCCGTCGCCAGCTCTGGCCTGGGAAGGGGGCCGTGGCGCTGCAGTGAGTGGGCACCCTCATCGGTTGGCCGATGGAATTGCCATCTTTGCTGCCGCTGCTGCTGCAGAAGAGAAGCCCACCTCCTTGTTGCCCCCACTGATCTGGCTGCAAGGACCAAGCGTCAGCTAGTGGCTGACCCTCCATGACCGGTAAGGGGCCGCAGAAATGCAGGTCAAGGGTTAGGGTTAAGGTGGACCCCCTCCAGCTTCTCCATGTCCTTTTGAGAGTGCAGTGCCCAGAACTGGACTCAGGACTCCAGGGCGGCCGAACCAGCGCAGAGCGCGATGGACAGGTTGTCTCCTGTGCTTCTGGCGACACGGCCCAAGGTTGCACTGGCCTTCTGGGCTACAGCGCCTCCTGGTTGCCCATGCCTGGCTCGTGGCCCACTGGCACCCCTGGATCCTGCTGGCACGCGCTACCATGAAGCCTGGACCCCAATCCTGCACGTGCCTGCTGGGTTTCTCATATCCAGAGGCAGGACACCTTCGGTTGTGGTTGGTTTCGAATTGTCTTCCAGCTAAGAATCAGCCGGTCTACCTCCCCCCTCCTTGTGCAGGTCTGACCGCGTCTCTTCCCTCCCCTCTTGGGGGCCTTTTCAAAGCACCGGGCGAGGGTGGGGCCCTAGGGGAGTCCACTCGTGCCTCTTCGCGGGGCGGGGAGGAAGCGTCCTGGCGCGGCGTTTCGCCGGTTGCAGACCCATCCAGGCGCCATTATCCTCCTTGCCCCCAGGATGTCGGGAGAGACTCCGTCAGGTGGTTTGCTGAGATCGAGGTTCGCACGTACACAGCTTTCCCCCAACTACCCAGCTGGCCCTCAGCCTAGTGGAGAGTCAGGAAGATAGGAAGATGGCCTTGGCGGAGACGCGCAGGAGCCCTTGCCCAGGCAAGAGGGGCCGGACCCTCCTGAAGTCCACAACGTGACAACACGCAGAAATGGCTCAGGTGGACGCCCCCCTCATTCACGGAGCGAGGAGGAGGCGGTCCAGCACAACCAGACTTGCCAGATTCTCTTATACAGCCCATCTCAGCCAGAGCAATTCCAGTCTTCCTGTGGAGCTGACTTCCCGTCCGGTCTGCCTCGAGGCCCGGCTTGTTCTTGACCCCCACCTCGACCCCAGTGCTGAGCCCTGCTCCTGCTCCTGCTCCT